TCAGCATGGACTACATTGTAAGCTCAAGACCAGTCTTCACTTCAAAGCAAGACACTGTAATAAAGAAATAAACAAACAAGCAAACCAAACCCAAATACAACAAATAAACAAATAAAAGACAATTCAGGAAATTCAGAAAAGGGACAATCTTTTACTAAATTATATATTTTTTCACTGCATAGTAATTAATTTCACACTATATTTGTAAAGAAATGAACTACTACAGATGTAACTTTTTGGGGTCTATGCAAATTTTAATATGCATTATAGACTCATATATTTACCTAATATTTTCCTGTTCTCTGACTTCTACATTTTAACTTTCTTTTCTCTCAACTCCAAATCTCTTAATTCTTTAAATTTTGCTCTAGAATCTCCACCACTCTCTACCTACACTCATTCTCTAGGCAATGCGAGCAAGTTCCGTGTCTTTAAAATCTGTATACACTTGACTGCCAACTTATGCCAAAGTATACAATTTGCTTGAACTCTATAAAGTGTGTATCTACAAATGGACATTAAAGGCTAATGTTTATTATGTCTCAAACTGATTTTAAAACTCAGTTATCTACCGGCCTCTTTTTTATTAGTCTTTCTAATCTCAGTCTTATTCCATTTGTTCACACTTAAGATCTTGATGTCATTTAATACTATAAAAGTTTTATAATGAGAAGCATCAAATATACAGATCCATATCCTGATAATTTTTTTACTTTTAATTTTAGATAAAACTTTTGTATCTTTTCCTTTTCTTTCTTACTTTTACTTTGAAATTGAATAGTTTTTAATATACTCCCTTAGCTTACTAAGTTTGGAACTGTGATAATTTTTTGTAGCTATTCTAAGACTTGTGTCAGATGCATGGAATGAATTTTGGTATACTGAATTTTTATTAGGATTAATTTTGGAAAGAATTTTAAAATTTTTTTTTTGATTTTTTTTCTTTTCCCTCTTCATAGGTTATTCAGAAATGTGTTGTTTCACTTATAAATATTATATCATATGGGAAGAAAAAGGAATATCCCTTCCTGACCATTATAAGAAGTTATGACTAAGACTTGTATAATGCAAATCAGATTAGCCAAAAGAAAATACAACAAACTGATTAACTGATTGACTGATTGATTGCAGGACTGAGGATTGAATCCAGGACTTTCCATATACTAAGCAAGTGATTTACCACTGATCTCTCCTACCATCCTCAAAACAAATTTACTAATGTGCCCTAAACACTGAAATCATAAGAAACACATAAGTGAAAAAAAGAGCCAGATAATTGACGCTTAAATACACTTCTTCAAAATAGAGACAGTTATAGGATGGTAGTAATAAGCTAAACTAAGGTGAGTAGTAGATTTTCATAACAAACAATGCTTGTCTTATATTTAGATAAAGTCAACAAATAAGAATAAATGGAATACTTGAATTCATTTGATCCAAATTTTTATATTATTTTTGGTGGTTAATATTTTTTCAGTTATTAAATGAGATACTAAAGGGAGAAAGTTTAAGACAATTACATTTCATTTGTAGAAGTTTTCTGAGTCACATACACGATGTCTGGAAAGAGACTCTATGGGGAGAAAGAAGAAAACATTAAAGGACCTTGATTCTGAGACTCTTTCTGGGATATTATTTCCTGAACTCCCAACAATAGACTCCTGGGTGTGTATTTTCAATTGTTTTGTACATTAATTCTGTCCATATTCAAGTAACAAATTTGAATATTAAAATTATTTATTTTTAATTCTTTTGCAATATCCCATAACCCTCTTTCCTCTCTTCTTCCTTTAACAAGTAGGTTTCAATGTGCACAATATATTTCGTTCATATCCATGCCTTATTACCCTCTCTTATAGATGGCTTATCTTTCCCCATTCATCTTCTCCCATAATAGTCTTCCTTCTGTATTCCTGTCATCTTTTTAGAGATTTTACAGCTTAGTGAAAATATGCTTATGTTGCTCAACATGATGGTCTCCAAATCCACTCATTTTCTTGCAAATGACATAAGAATATTCTTCGGTGTGGCTAAACAATACCTCACTATGTAATGTACTATGTTTTATCCGTTCAGCTGATGATGGACATCTAACTTGGTTCCACATCTTGGTTATCATGAACTGTGGGAAACAAATATGAACATGTGGGTATTTTGGAGTATGCTGACTTTAAAAAGGTTTTTAATACTTCTTTCCACTTTTTTCATTTACATGGATCCACCTCATTGAATAGTCTGTTTGACTTCGTGAAGAATGAATATTCATTGCTTGCCTGGTTTAGCATTTTATAAACATACATTAGATTAAAATCATTCATAGTGTTATTTAGACCCTACATACCTAACACCTTGTCTATTAATATTGTAATAGGGACTCGGAGGCTGCTTTTACACAAAAGTGCTCATTCTAGGCCTGCAGGCATCTCCTATGTAATTAAGACGGGGTATGAAATCTTGTATCTCTGCCTTCATTTTGTATCTGTCTCTTTTATTATATTAAAACTTTGGGTCAGACTCCTGATCAGTTTTGTATATAGGCAAATTAACCATTTAAGGAGTATCTATCTATAGCTGGTCATCCTCCCCTTTTTACAATGAAGCTTCCAATACAAGAATAACTAAGGTATTTTTAAGATTTTTTAAGGCTGTAATAATCAACAGATTTTGTCAGTTAACTTTTGAAACATGCTGCTTCAGACCACAGGAAAGTACAAACAATTAACTCTTCCTCAGCTTCCTAGACTTTTCCTTTTCTCTTACTCATTCTTTATTGCAGTCACTTAAATTCTAGCAACAATAGGTCTGATGGATGAATATCTTGCGACAAGAGTAAAGCATCCCTGGGAGGTAGTAATTTTCTCATGGGTTACAAAGCCCCGTCTAACAAATACTGAGATAAGGATTAATCAGAACATGAGCTGACCAAGATTATTAACTATGCAAGTCCCTGACCCCTAGTCTGTTAACCTCTTTGAAAAACAGATATTTAGTCATTACACTACTGTATTTCTCCCCACTGGGGCTGTGTTGAGAATAAACCTATATCTCAACCATTCATCTTTTCAATTGGTCTATTGGGACAGGTGGGTAAATCTGGTTCCACAAATTCAGAGGTGGACCTCTAGCCTTGGAAACGGATCATAATCTTATTTCCTGGGAAGCAGATTAAAACTTTTAGTTATGGTTATGAAATTTTCCATTTCTTCTGTAAGTTTTAGTTTTACATTTGATTCTTCTTTTTACCTTAGTTTTAAAGGTATTTCTTGAGGTTATACTAGGACGGTGTCATTCTTAACCCTCTTCTGTTCAAAACTTCCTGGCACATTTCCTTGACGTCATCAGTCATACATACTCCTGACTCTTTCAAAACACAGACAGAATTTAAATGCTGAAGGCCATTTCCACTGAAGCCATCTCAGTTTATGTTTGCTTCTCCTGAGCTATGGTGAAAGTCTTGCGGATTCTCTTTTGTCTCACTTTTTGGTCCTTTTTAACATTATAAACAGAAAATTCAAAGACCTTGCTAAAGTGCTTCTGAATCGCATCTCATTCCCAGCATAAAAGCTAAAGGACTATCAGTAGACCCAAAGCCTTCAGTTATCCTTTTAGACTCACCCTTTGTTACTTCCCTCTTAGTCATGCTTATCTAAATTTAAAAAGGATCTTTGCCTTTCTTTATTATATCAATTGGGCTTCTACTTCAGGACCAGCTATTTTTCCTTCTGAGTGGACTGCTCTAGTTCCTGGTTTCCTGTGGCTATATATATATATATATATATATATATATATATATATATATATATTTATATATATACATATATATTTATTTATATATATTTATATATTTAACCACATATTTAACCTTCATATTTTACTAAACTAGCATCCTTCCTTTGAATTTTTCTCTGCCAAACCTATGGTATCTACTGTGATCAGTCCTCTTCCTCAATCAACTCTTATCCCTCTTTCTGGCTTTAGTTTTCTCCTCAGAATTTATACCCATTTAATTTGACATTTATGTTATTATTTATTTTCTGTAGACTTCATTCTCTCATCTACCCTCATTAAATTATAAACTTTTGAGGGTATGAACAGCTATTTTGAAGAAAACAAGACCTTATAATAGCTAGTGCTGATTTAATATCAGCTTGTTTTGAAGTTCTACCAAGCTTCTGTTCTTCTGTCTCCATCGGTTTTATCAGGTTGTATCTTATTGGATTTTATTATTTGTGACAGTACAAACAAATTTTTTTATAGACAAGGAGATAATATAGTAACCATTGTTCATTTTCTGTGAGTTGGTTCTGAATACCCTGTAATACTTTCATTCTCTTGAATGATTTTAAACTATTTTGTTATGTTTGATACTATAGTGTATGAAGGTATGCTCAAATATTTCAAGGAAAGAGACACTGTGGTAGCTACTGTTATGTCGAGTTGTCTTGTGGTGAGACACTATGTTGCTTAAATTGTTCTGTTCTGACCTGTTTTGTTATGTCCTCTTTTATCTTAATCTTTTTTTTAAATAAAAAAGTTATAAACTTTATGAGGGTAGAAATTTTTGCTGGTTTCAAATATTGTTCTGTTCCAAGTGCCTAGACAAATACCTCACATTCTGCTAATAATAACTTATGGTGCCAGATACTCTTCCCAAGCCAAGATATTCCTTTTGAATGTTTTGTGGTGCTGATTTAATAACTGTTTAATCTTCCCTGACAAAATGTTGAACTAAACTTACCTGGAGTACCTTTAAGTGAAGGTGATTTTGCTTGTTCCCTGGATACTTTGCTTTCAGAGTTCTAACTGTCCTAATAGTTACAAAGATTTTCCTAATAATTAACCTAAATTCTCCCTCTGTTGAAACAGAAGCCCCATTAGTTCCTACACTGCCCTTGTTGACTAATGAGCATAATTGGTCTCTGTCCTTTTTATAGACTCGTTCTTCGTATTTGTGCATGTTCTCTGTGCCTCCACCCAGCCATTGGTCAAGGAAGTGTGTCAGCAGATGGCCACATGGGGACCAGTGAGTCCCAGAGCAAGAATCAGCAGCTCATCCCAGCACAACAGAGATGAATGAAAAGGATTTTAAACAGACGGTGAGTTGATGTGTGGAGGGGCCTATATTCGGGCTTAAACTCAGTTCCTATATTGTCAAAGAGGAAAAAAAAAAAAAAAACTTTTAAAGAACCTTAAGATTTGTGCACAGATATTGACCTGACTTGAAGCTTCATTTCTGAGAATTAAGATGAAAGTAAAACTTTCTTTGGATGCCTTTTCTCCTTTCTTTAGAAAGGTACTGAGTGTCAGACTTTAGAGTTAACTTTCTAACTTTTTAAACTTTCTAGTCTTTTTGTCCTAAATCAGTTTTTTAAAAGCATCCTGTGTGTGTTAGAATCTTGTAGAATATCCTCTATGTTGAGTTAGTCATTTTCCATTTACATTTTGATATTTACAAAATACCCTTTGTGAATAAGGTTATCATCTCATTCATTTTTACAAGTTAATACTTATTATCACTGCAAAGTAACTCATGTATTTGGAAGTAAAGTCTAAGGTAATACAAATAAATGTATTTAGATGATTAAATCAAGAGAAACAGAAAAGTGTGATCAATGTAAATAATTCTTACTCATAGTTGAAAGATGCAGGCTAAATTTGCTTATATTTCATTTAATAGTAGTGTGGCCCTTGGGAAAATTTCTTCCTGATCTCCAGTTGCTTCAAGTGTAATGGGATTTCAGACCAGATTAACTTTGATGCTCTTTTTAGTTCTTCAATTTTATAATTGTGAAAAGGAGAACAGCTCCAAAACTCTTAATACCATAATGTTTACCTACATTTCCCATGATTTTAATGCTAATTAACAAGATTGATGGAGAGTTATTGTAGACTGGAGTTCACAATAGTATTCCTGGAAAATTATTCCTATGAAATATTTGAGCAAACATGAAATTATATTAATTCTTTGTTCCATGATCAACAACAACTAGATAATTTTCATTTTCTACAATTACTAAGATTAATTCATTCAAGTGAACTGGCATGTATTGAGGAGTTGTTGTTTTAACCATGCTGTAAGATTTGATCATATCTGCCCGATAAACAAGTAGCTGGTGTTTTATCTCAAGTCAAGATTTCAAGCCTTGTCAAATGTATGATGGGGAAAACTTCAGAGTTAAGCTGCTTATCATTCATGACTTGTCACCCAAGATTAACACCATTGACTAAGACCAAGCTGGTGGCACATTATAAAAACTTATGATGGTTCTTACTGTAAATCAAAAGTCACAGTTGGCTGACCTGCCTGACTTTTGTTACCTGTTGCATTGACACTTGTCCACATTATTTTAGAGAAGGTCAAGCTGCCAGTGGTGTCATCTACTGTGCAGAAAGCTAACACCTCACCTGTCATCACATTGCTTGATGAGAGTGAGAAAGTTTGGGTACATTCATGGAATATGGTAAAAGCCTTGATATTTGGTGGGTGAAAATTACTGTAACTGAGATGGAGGAAGACTTTGGGAAGAATACTTATGGGCCAGAAAGATAAGAAATGTAACTTTAGATATTTTGATTTTGAGATGTCTGTTAGACATCTATCTAGAAATACCTTGAAAATGATTAAATTTTTGAGACTGGAATTTAGGAGTTTAGAACCTGGGAAGTAAGAGAAAAATATTTCCCAAGAGCTGTTTTGGGAAAGTTTAAAAAATATTCTCTATTTTCCTTTGCAAGAATTTTATTAGTCTCCCAGCTCAACCACTTTTCTCATGATATTATAGGATTCCTTGGTTAAAAAACAGATTTTCTCAACTGCAAAGGTCACCTGGTATCTAACACTCAGGAAAATCTCTTCTATCTTGAGGTCACATAATTAATGCAAATACCTTATGTTGGTCAACTTTCCTGTTTCTGGAACAAAATATCTTATACCCAAAATTTAAAGCAAGAGAGGCTAAATTGGCTCACAGTTTCAGTGGCTTCAGATCATGACTGACTGGCTCGAAGGCAGAAATATTATAGTGGGATGGCCTGGTAGAACAAACTTTCTCACTTCATGGTAGCCACAAAGCAGAGCAAAGGAGAAAAACACCACCTAGAGATATACTCTCAAAAGAGACATAACCTCCACTGGTCTACCTTAATCTGGGCTCCACTTACTAATAAAAGATTTCCATTTGAACAATAGAGGATTAATCTGCTGATGAATATGTGTTCCACACAGCTGTGTAGGAATCTCTTAATGTAGTCAAATTGACAACATAGCTTAATCACATAACTAATCCTAGGAAGCCAGTGAAATGTAATTTACTCCACCATATTTGCTATACATTGAGCTTCTTTCTGCAGTTCCAATTTACCATTATACTGTTCTCAGTTGAAGCCCTCTGCAAGTAACAAATGGTTTTTCCTATAATCTATCTAAGGATTTCTATGTACCATTATTGCCATTATTGCAAGAATATGTAAATCTTAAGCAACAAAGTAAAAACGAGGAGAATAAATGTGGGACTCTCTAAAATCAAACATGATATTTAGTACACAACAGGAAATAATTTAATGAAACCAGAAGCTCCGTATTTCTTCTTACAGTGTTGCTATGGTTCAGCTCTGGACAGCCAGGTATTTGATGTTACTTGAATCTTCAATTTAAGAGGTATGTCTGACCTTACACATTGACTTCGAACTTGAAGGTGACTGCTGGCATCAGTGCCATTTTACTCCTTCTGGTTTCCTACCACAGGGCATATTGTGTTGGGAAAATCATAGGATTTACTAACATTACTGATAAGGATCAGAAGATGAAGCTGCAGATCTGTGCATTTAAAGAAATACCAACCAGGCTTGGGCGAAGGAAATCAATTTGAAAACATGTAACAGATTTGTTGATAACCATAAGTAGAGCCCTTTGGTAAAATGTTAGCGGATTTGAATATATATATATATATATATATATATATATATATATACTCAACATGATCGAAAAGGAAAGTTTTGATGCAGTAGAGTTCCAGTAGTGTTTCCCACTATAAAGACTAGGCAAAAAGAAAACCTGTTAGGTTTAAAATCCAGCTAACTCAGGCACAGTCTTCACTCTAATATACATTATAAATGAACCTTAGATTTAACTTTTACTTTTTTTCTCTAATTGTAGAGACACAGAAGTCTTTACAAGAGTTAGTCTTCTATAGCTGAGAGAGCTACTGACAAGATAGATTTCAGAGGCATTGGATATATGAAAGTTGCTGTTTAAACTAATTGATGGCCTTCCTTTGACTAATTATTCAAGACTTTGTTCACAAATTTTATTGCTATATGTGGAGTAGTTAGTATTATAAGCACATTGATGGCAATGTCTTACTATTAGCAAAATCTTCTCTTTCATTTGTATTTATTCATAACTCCTGAATCATTTGAAACAAATACCATTGTATTAGTCAGCCTTACCATTCACTGCTGGTAGATGAGTGATGCGTACAACTTAAGGAAGATATAGTTTATTTGACTTATTGTTTCAGAGGTTTCAGTTGATGGTTGGCTATTTCTGAGGCAGGAATACCTGGAGGTAGGCATGATGGTAAACGCTGTTCACTTCATGATGGCCTGGAAGCAGAACCCAGAACTGTCTCAGTGTGAGCTGTACTACCCAAATGCATACCCCATTGAGTCACCTTTTTCAATGTGTCCTTAACTCCTGAAAGAACAGTCAGCAATGCACATCAGTGGTTTATTTCACTTACTAACACAGCACTGCCATGATCGAATCATCTTCCCAAGAATCTAATTCTACTCGTTTGTAATTAAGCTCCACTGATACAAATCCACCACTTATCAACATATCCTTAAACCGTACCCAATCTCCAAATAAACACAACAATAAGGTCGAAATTCCAAGTATGTTGCAAATATATGTATTACGTACAGCCAAAAAGTCTGTAATAACTTCCTCAAATTCTTAGCAGTTCCAGCCTTGCTAAAAAGTCCCTGCCCAGATTCTTCCCTGAGACAAGAGGTAAACTCTTAGCTGTGAACCTGTATAAAATCAAAAATGAGTTGCATATTCCCAGGAAACAATGGTCCAGGGTAAACTTTATATTTTATAAGGGAGGAAAAGAAGAATAAGGAACATGGACAACTGTTATACACTTTGGTCCTCATTTACACTTTTGGAAATGTTCAGATCAGAAAGGGAGCTAGGGAGAGAAGAGAGCGGAAAGAAGAAAGGGAAAAGGAAAAAAATGAGAATAGATGGAAAAAGGGAAACAAAGCTTTGTTAATAAGAAGAGTGGTTGAATGGAGGTGAGGGAAAGGAGTAAAATAGAAGGATAAAGATGCATTTTGTACAAGCCCAAATTCCATATGAGAAATGTTATCATTATATATATATATATATATATATATATATATATATATTAAAATGTACCAATAAACTTAATTTTAAAAACAAAAAATAAAAGAAAAAAGAAAACTGGACAACTAATACGGAAACCCAGCAGGGCAATTATCAAGTCCTTTAGCTCCATGTCCAGCATCTAGGGTACGCAGTGTTAAAATGGGGCCTAAGGAGACTCAGGCAGCCACTGTCTTACCATTTGTAGCCCGCAAGGCCTCTCCCTTGCGCTGGCTCCACTCACTGTCAATAGCTTTCTTCAGCAGAAATCCCACATTCCTGCCATTTCCAATGGTGTAGAACCACAACTCAGGGGCATATATCCTGTCCTCCCAGACATGTTGAAATTGTAGTAAAGGCCACCATCATCACACAACTCTTTAAGTTTGTGTTTCTGGTAAAGCAGCATCATGTAAACCACCCCAGAACCTACTGCCTTTTCAAGCATAACATCTTTGGCTGTGAGAAGAAGTTCCCATCCCATAGTTCTCAGAAGCCAGCATAACATCTCTGGCTTCTGAGAACTATGCAGTGGCTGTGCATAGTAAAATGAATCTCAGAGAACCAATTCCTTAGGAAATTCTTCTAAAGCAGGGGCCCCAGGGATTCTCTTCTCAAATAAAACATGTATTAGTGAGCTATTTCATTGATGTATAAAGTACTTAACTCTCACTTAAAGAAAGAGATGTTTGATTTGGCTCATAGTTTCAAGGGATTCAATCCATAATCAAATGGCTCCAAGTCAGAAACATCATGATGGAAGGGCATGATAGAAGAAAGCTGTTTAATTTATAGAAGCCAAGAGGCAGATAAGAGAAGGGCCAAAGAGCAAGATTCATCCTCCAAACGCACACTTCCAATGAGATAGGTCTTCCAATTAGACTCACTCTCCTAAAATCATGTTTAAGCTCTGAACTCTTTAGTGGAATAATTCATTCATGATCATATTGCCTCCATGATCTAATAATATTTCTAAAGACTGGTCTCTGGACACTCAAAATGTGTTCACTTCACCTATAAACACTTGAGACTTTGACAAAAATTCTAGATCTAAATCATTCAATCCTTACTCCCTAAGAGATTCATGTCTATCTCATGCAGAAGAGGGATTGAAGGGAAGGCAGGAGAATGGAAAAAAAAATAAGATGTATTATATACAGGTATGAATTCTCTACAGTGAATGTAACTACTATGTATGTCAAAGCTCTACCTGTAAAATTAATTAAAAAACAAATATTAAAAAAAATCCAAAATGTATTTCATTCATCTCTACGAGTCACCAAAGTCCTAACGTTTCCTTCATGGCTGAAAACGTAAGACAGAAATTCATGTCCGAGACTCAAGGAAATCCCTTAGATGAGAGTTCCTTTAAAATTGAAAAAGATACGTATATACATGTATGTATATATGTGTATATATATATATATATATATATATATATGATAGATATATATGTATATATATATGTATATATATATGTATATATATATGTATATATATATATATATATATGATAGATAACTTTACTACTAATCTCTGTAAGTTCATCAAAAAGAACAGTTTGTGCATTCACTGTTTGATTGTTTGATCATGTTTTTCATGGATAAATCTCGTAACCTGAACAATTACTTCTAAAATAATGATATGCAATATATTAACTGGTATTAATTTGCTACTGTTTTTGAAATTGTGTATCATTTCTATCTTTTTTGTTTTCTGTTTTTGAAGTAAAAATAGAAAAATAGATTATGATAATAATAAATGTGACAAAAATGCAAAAGAAAGCTAAACATTTCCGACATATATTGATAGAGAAGAAACACTTCCAATTCAAAAGGGATAAGTAAGTGAATAGAGAAACATACGAAAGCAAGACTAAAAGCCAGTAGAGCTTATATTAGATCCTATAGCTTCATGTTCAGGACTAAAGACAGATGCAAACTCCGAAGGGTTTGGGGAACCACCTGCATGCCCCCTTTCTTGGATCCCCCTGCATAGCTTCTTTCTTGGACTAGCTTCATTCACTGCCTACTATTTTCTTTAGCAGATAATCATGTTTCCAGTATCTCAAATTTCATAGGATCTCCAAAGAACTACTGTTTCATTCTCAGAACTTCATGCATTGTTTTTTACTGGTACATTGTTTGGATATATTTAAATCTGAGTGGAAGCTTCCATGACAACACAAGTTTTACATTCTGGATGCCCAAAAAACCAGCAACATGTGGAAGATGCCAAGGGTGTTCCACCAGCTCGTGTAGTAACCTGGCTTCTTTGGAGTTTGGCTTTTGAGTGCATAGAAAGCAATATGAAATAGAAGCAATATGAAAAAAGCAGTGGAAAGGGAAATACAGTGGTTTTGAGCAAGCAGGATTCCCTGGGGCTCTCTTCTCAAAGCCAAGTCTGTCAATGGAGTTTACCCTGTAACATTGTTATGGTTGAAACATTGTGTCAACTTGAGAAGGTTAGAAGTTTCAACTGAGAGAATCCCCAGGGAGCCAGGATCTTAACTTTGTAAACATTCTCATCCTGTGCAAAAGGAGGGCACAAAGATTTTGTGAATTCTACACCCACTTTGTGGGACAGGGAGGGATGGGGGGATGTCCTGCATACAATATAAGGAAGAAGAGGCATGTTTCCACCCTTTTGCTCTGACTGCTGCCTTGAAGTGTTGTCTCAGTGCCAAGCCACCCTCCTTGCAGGCAGCTGATTGTGGACCAAAACTTCCCCAAACTGTAAGCTATCTAAATCTTTCCTTCCTTAATTTCTGGTGTTGAGTATTTTGTCCTAGCAACAATAGAAAATAACCAAGACAAACACCCTAGAGCCTGTGATGGTTTTTGACCTTTTCCTTAGGTACCTTTAAGACATCTTTTCTAAGGTGTGCATGTGAAGTACATGTCTTCCTTTTAGCAGTTCAGATCTCTTCAGAAAAGATATTTACTTTTACCTCAACTTTATATATGTAGCCTTTGGACTAAATTTTGACATTTTTAATTTTTTTGTTCGTCTGTTGCCTCTGGTTATCCTTGTAAATCTGGATTAAATTGGCCAACAGTAGCCTGGACACAGCCCAAATGTCTGTCTTTAATTTTCCTCCCCCAGATTAATTAGTTCACCTTCTGAATCACAGTCTCCTGAAAAGTCTCAGGATGGATAAAATGAGACAAATTTTCTGCCAAAATATAACACTCAGGGCAAACAATCACAATTCATTTGGAGCTTTTCTTCCCGAGTGAATCCTTCTGAACATGGCCTGTACTGTTCTCACTCTTGTAAGCATTGTGGTTTTCCGAAATCTGACCAGAATCACTCACTCACCCCATGTCCCAACAATGCATTTAGCTATGAACCTCTGACAGGTTCAATCCATGGATGAATATGGTATTCCCATGATTCAGGCACCTTCCAAAGGTCCCAATCTGAACACATGAGGTTCAAAGAACAACCTAGATCTAAACCGTAAAAAAGGTTCATACTTTTGAATGTTTAGCTTACAATGAGTGAGATCTTGCAGAACCTGTGATGTCATCAAGGCATCTTTCTTCTTATCCTGATTGAATATACTTGTGTCATGGTTTATGTCTGTGTCCCCCAGCCCTCATGAGTTTGAACTGTGTATTTGTTATTCGTTCATTGTCTAGGGTTGCTTGTGTCAGTGCTCCACCCACATAGGGGTGGAGCCAGGATTGATGTAATGGCAGGAAGAAGGTGTGTCTTTTTTCTTTGCTGGTTTGAGCTTGCTGTTTGCAGCCACCATGAAGCCCAGCCATACCTGCCTGCCTTGGAGTCAACTGAGTGTGGACTGAAACCTCCAAAAACTGTAAGAAATAAACCTTTCCTTTCCCAACTTTGGGCTTCAGGTATTTTGTCTCAGCAACGAGCATAAAGTAACTAAGACAACTTGATTTCTTTTTAACAGTACTATTTTCTTCAACAACCACACTCCCTTTTGTCTCAATGTCACATGCAGTTATTCTTTGGCCCAAAACTTCTCAAATCTTTTTACTCTGCTTTTTGCTTCTGATTTTCACTACAACCCTTGTTATAAATAGTTAATAATAGTCACACCTTATCCCAAATTTTTGGTCTCTCTTGAATTTTTCTCTACCAGATCATTTAATCTGCTACCTTTCAATTCAGCTTCATACAAATTCTCAAGACACTCACAAAATGTAGAATTATTTTTAAAATTTTTGTCAGTGTATAATAT